TTTCATTTCACGTCGTAGTGAATCATCTTTGAGGCCTAGCACGAGCTGTTCCTTCAATACACCATCAGCATCAGGAATTCTAGCTGGGTCTCTGCTCTGAATTATACTCAATTTCTCTTGCAAATCGTATGCATACGAACGAATGGTTTCTCCAGGCATTTGTTTGCGGTCATAAAAATCTTTCAGCCTGCTGCCAATGGGAAGTTTGTCCCCATAAGTCTGATCCAAAGCATCAAAAATCTCATCCACTGACTTCTCCTTTCCGTTCAGCATAAACTTGACTGTCATCTTTGCTTCATCTTTTAAACACTGCTTAACAAACTCAATTCTGTCTTCTTCAGGAATTTTCATCACCTTGAAGGCGGACTTCATTGAACTTATCCATTCTTCTATGCTCAACTCGCCAGGCTTAGAACGACATCCACTGAACTCTGGAAGTTTACGATCTCTTGGGATGTACACAGTAGATGGTGCTTTTTGAGCAGCAGCTTGTTGTTCAATAACAATTTTAGCAAGAGAAAGTGCCTCTCTCTGTTCGGCTCTGGCTTGCTCTAACATGCCAGACTGCTCACCGAACCGCCTTTGTATTTCTTCAAACTGTTTCTTTAATTCTTCTAGCTCAGCCATAGCGTCGGCTCAAAGACTACAAACTTATACTGAATTAAGAGTCAGGAATTGATCCTGTTCGTGACGCCAATATGTGGCGGAGGGGAATATGCCACCGCCTTGTGGGGCAAATAATATACTTTACACTAAGGAAGACTGAGTGAGCAACAGGATCTTAGTCCCCCCACCCAATGCTTTAGGTCTCAGTATAACTAGTGGTTATATGTGAGCGTCTATCGTGTTGCTATATGGAGGTACAGATAAAGTGAGGTGGGCTTCAGGATCTATCTTTATCACGGTGGTAGCCTGAAGTGTGTATGTGAGTGTGTAAAAACTCAGAAAAACCCACCCTCCCAGATCTAACAGGATAGATGAGACGGCCCCACTCCTTAGTATAAAGGACTTCAGTTAACTCAATGTAACTAAACAAACAAATATTTATTTAAACAAAAAGTATTAGTCTTATGAGACTAATTGAATGAGTTTTCTTTTCTTATGTTTCTTCACATAAAATTAAATTGTCTTAAACTCAATCAGCTCAAAGTAAAATGAAATATGGACAGTAATAAAGGAAATAGAATCAATGTGCTAGTGTTTCAGTCACACCTTAAACAATGACAAAATTCACATTCACAATCAGTATTAATCAAATGAGTTCAAATCAAGTTAGAGTTCACTTTCAAAATTCAGGAAAAATATACTCAGTCCATTCACGAGTGAAAATGTCCATAGACCGGTAAACAAATAAGTCTCTTTGTGGAAAAACGCACAATTTCCAGTTTTTCGATCGAGAGTTCCTTTAAAGCACAGTTCTGTTTCGATATGGTAAAAAGAAAAGATGTCTTACCAATATTCAGGGAAAAGTGAACTCAATATTGTACATCACCACTCTTGGGTCCAGAACGGAGCGCTGAAAGGAGTCTGGAAAGGCAGGGTAATGTTCCTTCAACTCTTTGATCCCCAACGATTGCCCTCGTGATCCTGAAAGCACAGCACGATCCAACAAGGCCACAATCCCGTCCAACGGCGATCAATCAGAGCAAACAATGAACACACGATGCTTTCCAACGCAAAAATCCTCGCAAAAATAACACAGCATCCACTACGTTTTGAGTTCGTTTGAACTAACAAAAATCTGGATGTAAATTACAAAAAAACACGGGAGTATTCAACTTCAGCACTGAATAATCCGACTGACTTTAACAGCAGGCCTATTATCCCGCGTCACTCACGAGCGCGGCAAAAAAAACTTGCTGCGTCACTGTTAATAACTGGCTCATTAAACTATACGGAGACTTAAAAGCAACGAGACTTTGAAGCAATGTAATCTAGCTTTGTTTCATGTCATCAGTTAACTTCTTAAGTTGATCAAAAAGTTTTAAAACTGCACAATCTTCATTAGCTCACCACTGCTGTCACAACTCGCCTTTCTCTCCTCCCTCTCTCTGCCTGAATGAGATCGTCACCCACACACTAACCGGAGAAAGTAATGGCGGCGCCCATGTCAAATTTCAAAATAAAAGTTCTCTCATATTCGGATTTGTAGATCCCCTACATCTCTACACAGCTGAACTGTGGAGGAGTGGGCCTGCTAGGACTTCCCACTTCAATGTATCAGCAGCACAGAAGAGAAATGATTTCCAGGCTCAACGCATCCTCTCATATGTTATTTGTTATTTCACCAGGACTGACTTGAGAATGAGTTTTTCAAGTAGAGCATGAGCATGTATTCTTTGTGTGCGTGTGTGTGTGAGTGTGTGTGTGTCTGCATGCGATTCTAAATCCATTGTGCATTCAGACGGGAGTTTCAGAGACAGACAGTAACCAGGCAGAGGCTTGTGAAGGCTTCATTGAGCACACCAGGATAGGAATGAGATTTTTAGGCAGTTTCTTTCTCGCACCACTGACTCCTTTGTGAATAATACCACCTCTAATAGAAACCTGGACCAAAATCAAAAAGCTGAGGACTTCAGTGCGTGTGTGCGTTTGGCAGATGAAGCACTTTTATCCTGCGAGTTTTATGAAATACAGTATTGTGATACCTGTTTTAATGTCCTTGTTCTCTCTTTCAGATAGGAAAGACAGCCTAAGATGAATGCCAGTGACAAAATTGAAGCCCCCATCCACAAGAAAAACACCCTGCTGTCCATTGTCACCGACTTCTCAGAACAAAAACCAGGGAAATAGCAACAGAAAAAAAAGTCCACAAGGGAATGAAAGCTATGTTGAACAGTTGTTAAAAGTAAGAGCTGTTCAAACTGTTCAGGCTTCACTCTTAATCCATCTTCAGAACAGTTTCAAAGTCTTCTGAAGCACAGCGCGTCCTTGATGTGTGAACATAAGAGATGTGAAAAGCAGGACACACTTGTTCACACAGGATCAGCCGATCAGCAGGACCCCTGGGAGACTAATAATGACAGCAGACTGATGGTGACAACAACAAGCTGAGCTTCACAGGTCACAGATCAGAACAGTGTGTGACAGCTGATCTGAGGGTGGCTGTCTCTGTGTCAGCGATGCAGCTATGTGACCATGAAGACACCGTCTCTGCCACCGGACTGTCCACTGCTGCAGTGGTGGCAATAGTGTGCAACATCCTGGTAGCTCTGCTCATACTAGTTCTCATATTAATCCTCTGCAAAGCATGCAAGGTTCCCTCCAGCCAGGAGAGCGTCCCGGTGTTGACTTTAGAGAACGCACAGCAGAGCAATGAGCAGAGGTACTTGCTGACGGCATGAAGGAAAGAAAAAAACTGGAAACAGAATGTGTTTACATTGTGTATAATCATCCACTGTGGATTAGACGAGCTGGTTTGTCATGAATTAGTATTGTTTTGAAAACATGATTTGATAGACGTGTCTTTGCTATTCATAGAGCCCGTGTAATTGGGGCGGCATGTATAAAATAACCAGAGGATGAGGAGAGAGTTGGCTCAGCGTGGGCTGCCGGGACTCTACCTGAGCTCTCTTGTACTGTACCACTCTGCCTGAGTGTTTTATGTAAAGGTAAAGAGACTCTCCATGCCCTCTTCACAGTCATTGAGTAGTGCCATGACAGCATTGGTGAAACCCCACACCTGCAGCTAACCAACTAGTAATCAGCGCTATGCTAATTAGCATGCACAAACAAATAAAAGCTCAAGTGCAGGAATGAAATTTTAATAAGAGCACAATTGTGCTGCTTTGTTTCTGAAGGAGGAATTTAAATATGAAATGCATGTTTTATTGTGCTGGTTTGCATATGCAACAGGCCAGAGGGATCAGTCAACTACTAACATGCTAGCATCTTTCCCTAAGAACATCAGAGGACATTAAATGGTAGATGATTAATAAATATATTGAAATATCCATACCAAGTCTTGGTCTTTTTTTTTCTTCTTCCAATTTTCCTTTATTGTGATAGGACAGAATGTAGACAGCAAGTGAAACTGGAGAGAGGGAGGGGTGATTGGGAAAGATCTATGAGCCAGGACTTAAACTTGTGATGTCTCAAGCACAATAGCGCCACATGTCAAAGCATTGCCCACAAGGCTATCAGCACCAACATCTTGGTCCTTTTTAAATGTATAATACAATTTGGATCGACTTTATAGGCATTTTTGGCTACTCTCACAATTCAGACAATTCATTTAAAGGGATAGTTCACACAAAAATAATAATTTTGTCATCATTAACTCACCCTTGACCAGCTTGTGATTCATTTTTGTTCTGTTTATTACAAAAGGACATACTCTATCTGGAAGAATGTTGTAAACCTGTAACCACAAAAACTGTAAAAAGAAAAACAAAACTCAAAATGGTTTGGAACAAGTCGAGGATGAGTAAGTAGCTGTTTCCATTCACCTATTTTTATGCCCATATTGGATATGCACATAAAAGCGGTGGATGGAAATGCCAAGATGCGCATCAATTTTGAAAATGCACATAAAAAAATGTATTTGCATAACTTGCACAACTTTTTATTTGATTAGAAAATATGCAAATAAACTATGATGGAAACATTTTTACCAAACAAATTCCAGTACCGCATTAAAAAGGTCATGTGATTTTGTTTTAAGAGATTATGAGGTGATAAAAATGTGTGTGAATGGACAAGCCAGCAGGCTGAACACCCTGTAAAACATCTGAAATGTTGTTTTGGTCATTCTAAAACGCCTAAACCATTTTAGTATTAGTGTTATTTTATTATTAATTACATCCAGGACTGTCAAGAGAGTCTGTGCTCCGTGTTTCACGCCTTCAAATGTGTTCATTGCATGTTGGCATCTTCTTCTGAGATGCCAGTCATTTATTAAATAAAGAAAAGATTCATGCAGCTTCTCCTACTGCAGCAAATTCTGCTTTTACTGTTGATATTTGGCGCCAGTTAATCAGGAAGTGACAATTTTGTTTCTCTTTGACTGGCTGGATGACAACGCTGCTTTATTCACATGTTTTTAAGCGATATTCCAGTTTTGTGCATGAATTAATTAGCATTTTTGGATGGAAACAGGGCCAATGATGGCAGGGATTTAATTTTATGGTGAACTATCCTTTTAAAATACAGGCCACGATGAATACTGTTTATTTGACTGACTATTTTTAGTGAATTTGTGCAGTGGTCCTGGTCTTACTGTGCCTCAGTCTGCTGTCTGTACCCAGGCTATCTCAGCGAGCTCAAGAGTTGCTCCATCTTCGCTATCTCCACCTCCGGCCCCTTCGGAAGCTCCTGACCCTTCTTCTCCTGCAGAGCCAAAGAGAGAAATGGAGAGAAGGAGATGAGTCACCGCTGCTAGAGAGAGGATTGACCCAGGGGTGCCACTAACAATCACAAACACTTCTCGGTGTGAAGCTCCCATTTAAACGGCTCCATCTCCACTGGCGGAGGTAATGAGAAAGGTGTTAGCAAGCCGTTATTTCCTCTCTGTGCTGCGGTGGAACAAAACCGCCAATGTCACCGTCAGAGACTCTAATCTCACATGACATTTGTCTGAGATGATTACAGTGACACATTGTTTCCTCAAGGGAGAATAGCCAAAGATCACTATGGTTACTGACCGTACTGATGCTGTAATCAACTAAACCAGACCAGACAAACTTCTCAGCAGAAAAACTCACTTGCACCAATTAAACACTCTACTGTTCCTGTCAATCATTAGGCAGATTCATGAGTCTGGTAATCGCTCACAGAACATCTGCTAAATGTGCTCAGCAGAATGCTAATGTTCAGACATCCACAAAGCTGCGGCGGAGGATTCTTCAATCAGCTCTAATAAGTAGCTCAAGGTTACAGCTATTCATAGAATCCCAACCAGCGAGAGCCACTGGGGAAATAAAATTTGGAGGAGCGAGAAATGTCAATCAAAGGGATTTATAAACAATTCAATTTCACCTTTTTAAAATCAAATGCTGGTCTTTGCCTTTCAGTTTGGCTTCAAAAAACCGTCAGAAAATCTCTATTAGCTTCATTGCGTAGCTTGAACAATTCAAACCCCTTAAGGCAGGGGTGTCCAAACTCAGCCATGGAGGGTCGGTGTACTGGAACATACCTAAACTAGCTAATCAAGCTCTTATACCATGGTCACATTAGAATTTGAGCATGCGAATTCTGTCATATGGCGCTGGGAAAAGGGGCCAGATTAGACATTAAAAAAAGCAAATGATTGGTCCATGTTTTAAATTTCTGTCCATAGAGGTCATATTTTGATCTTCGATTGGTCTCATGCAACCACAAGATGATTACAGCTGAGAGTTTACCAAGCTTGAACTTTCCAATGCAGCGATCGGCGAAATTTGTCACACAGGCTTGCGTTTCTGGTCTGACGCATTCACGTTCGTATCAACAGAGGTCTATAGGGAGAAAAGTTCAGTGTAATCACGGCTTTACTAGACATACTAAAAACTTCCTAGCAGGTGTGTTGAAGCAAGTTGGACCTAAACTCAGTAGGACACTGGCCTTCCAGGACTGAGGTTGGACACCCCTGCCTTAAGAGGACCTAATTTGCAAAATTCACTTAAATAAGAAAAGTATTTTTACATATTAACAATTGACCCTATACTAAGCCCCGTTCTCCTTAGATACTGTTTTCACACATTTTTACACAAATCATTCAATGAAAGAATAGCCAGAAAGAGGAAAATGATGAATTTGTGCATCCTTAACCCATAACAATGTACAGTATAATATATATATATATATATATATATATATATATATATATATATATATATATATATATATATATATATATATATATATATATATAATATAATGTACAGTACCTATAACTGTCAGTGTATTTGTGTGGCCTGCCGCCTCGTGCAAATGCACGCCTCCCACCAGTGCCGATATACAGCCATATCGCACTGCTACGAGGGTGATATAGATATATATATATATTTATATTATGTTGTTGTACAGTGCTCAGCATATACAAGTACACCCCTCACAAATCTGTCTTTAATTTTCTATTTTAATATGAAGCTGTACAATATTATATTTTTCATATACATTAGATTAGTCGATACTGAAGCCAAAATCTGGAGCTTATCTAACAAAATAACTTAAAGATAATGGCTCAAAAACTAGTCCACCCAAATTTATATGTTATAGAAAATATTAAATACAAAATTTAAAAAGAGAAAAAATCAAAAGAAGCACAAAAAAAAGTAAAAATAAAGCTGAAATTTTGCAATATTTTGCTTGAATTAAATTGTATTATCTTTCAATTTCTAAATATGTTTGGTGACTAAAATATTATTTTAATAAAAATATCTGTTTAATAAATCTGTTTTGTTTAAATGCACCAAAATACATGACCTATATTTACTGAGAAATTGATACAAATATTAATTTTCAAAATGGGGTGTACTTAAATATGCTGAGCACTTATACTTTTGTAGACTTTTGAAGTCCAAGCTACAGAGAAGACAATCTTTTAATTTTATTTCAAAAGAAAATGTGCTAAAGTGCTGCACAGTATATTTGTGCAAAATTTATTTCACACAGATTTGCATGTGCCATTGTCTGCAGCTGATGAAAATAATGTCATGCAGAGATGTATAAATCAGCATAGAGCGAGGATGGCTGAAGTATTCTTTTCAGAAACGATAGGCTTTTATCACCCATTTTGGGACTCTATGTAGGCATACAGCTAGGATGTTTCAAATACAGCACAAAATGAGTTATGCAAAGTCTCATTTTCTAATGTCTGTGGCAGATGACTGTGAATCAGCAGAGAGTTCTTATGTAAGTGCAGAGGAAGATTTTAATGCGTTTTCAGTGGCTCCCTTGGTAAGAGGACTTTTAATGTTTCTTGTAATTGCGATCGGTGTTGTGTAGTTTATTTGAGAAGTTGCTGACTGTTGAGAATGATATAACTTATAATGAAACAGATTACAAAATAAATCAGCTGCTGAGGTGGCAAACCGAGGGCTCGAGAAAGAAAGTGGACCCGACTGTTCATGCAGTGAATCTAAAAGTGTCAGTAAAAAAGGACCGGCTACGGGATTAATATGGAAGGCGTGATTGATGAGTCACAGGCACAGAGAGGCGGGCTGGAAGGTAGAAAGCATTTTTAAGGCTCACAGGAGGTGAGATGTGTGTCGGTGTCATGTCTTAGGCTTGAAAACCGCTAACCGTTTCTATTGAGTATGGAACAAGCTGTTTTCAGACGCCACCCCATGGGTCCCACAGCTTTAATATATAACTCTAGACAGGTACATGTCTAGTTTCGGCCAGCATTGACCTACACTCACTTTAGCACAACTGGAAACCTGCAAAGGTCAAGCACTTTATCCAAAATCAATGTAATCCTTGTTCTT